CGCTGAAGTGACTAAAGACAAATTCCTCCAGCTGGTCATGAGATAAATGCGGTCGGCCCCTCCACCGCTTAGCTTATGAAATGTACGGTGGAGGAATAAAAAAGTTATGGAGTTTTTTTACTCTGATATATAATCACAAAGTACAGGATATACCATATGCTGACTGGACAGAACATCAGTACCAGTAGTACACAGTTCAGCCTAGTAGTAGTAAAGGTAATTTGACTGTTGTCCATTATATTTACCTCTCACAATGTTATCTTAACATAATAACAATATTAATAAAAAAATATAGTAATTTATTGGAACAGCGAATTTGTCTTTTCGTTGGTTTACCCACAGGTTGTCAAAATCAAGCTAGCGTAACTGACCTACTTTCTGCATCTCCGACATTTTTTAAATAAAAAATATTTTAATAACCTGTAAAATGTGATAATGGTCTTGTGATCTTGTTGTTGTAGTGTTGACAATTTATGGCAAAATATTGCATCCCTTTTTGATATTCCTCGCATGACTGTCTGCTGCATCCCCTTTTTACCACCGTTCATGGATGTTCCCGAGTCAAAACTGAATGGCACCTGTGCGGCGCACGATATGTCACGTGATGTCCAATCCAGTAATATAGATCAACGGAACAGACGCCCTGCCGTTACAAGTTTTATTGTAAAAAAACAAGATCAGCATGAGAAGAACAAGAAAGTCCGACTGAGCGTGTGCACGTACGTGTGTCACTTTAAGTTTGGTCAGAGGCGAGCTCTAATCAAGCCGTGCCCTCTGGTTCCTACTGTGACAGGGTGCATCATCATGCTAGCTTGTAGTCTACACACACACACACACATCACCATGCCAGCTTGGATTACACACAACTGATGGCCTAAAAATCTTTTGGAGTACTAATGTCACACAAGGAACACATGTATCCAACTTATTTGGACGCTCCGTTGAGTTGAAGTTTTTGTCTTCAGCCTGCGACGGCGTCAACGTCCTGTTCTCCTTTTTCAGGCTGCTACGTGCACAGACACACAAACACACACTGCTCCTCTCTCAAGTAACCGTGACAGGTGGAGCTTAAGGCGTTAAAGGAAACCTACTGCCATACTTACACAATCATGCACGCGCTTCTTTTCTGTGAGGTCAGGTGTCCTGCAGCAAGTTTCCTGGTGATGTCAGCAGCATTTTGGAACAGCTAAACTTTATTGACAAGGTTGCTGACGACGGTCGACAAAGAAGAGCACAGCATCTCCATGTTTTCTTTCCCTTCCACCGTCATCGTTCCGTGTGTTTGTGGTTGAGTTTTAATGTTTTTTTTTACTCCGTCATGAATGTGGAATAAGAAAACATCCTTTAATAAATCACATTAAAAAGAAATTAATCACACATATGGGCTGGGTCAGAAATGACAAGCTCATTTGATGTTTTCCCAAGTGTTGATTTGTTTTTGTCATTTACATTCGACCCAAAAAACCCTGAAAAACGATCAGAAGGTTCACACACGTGATTAATAATAAAATAGATGGTGACAACAAACCCACCACGCCATATTTTAATAACACATCTGATGAGTTGTTGTGATTTTTTTAGGCCAAATGACAAGTAACAGAACACAAAAGAAGGAAATTTAATTTTTTTTATTTTTTTCCTTCTCTGGAGTCACTTAATGACCCAGATAGATTCCTCATTTATCTTTTAGATATTTAACACACATTTTAAAGTAACACACATTATGTTGTATGCATACTGAGGATAACACACAAGCTAAAATCAGATAAACTTCATGCTTTTCATTTTTGAAAAACATGAATCTGTGAGTTTTCACTGCTTTTCTTTTCCCGTTTCTTAATCATCAACTTGTTTACTTAGTTTATTTGATAGTGTTGCAAGCTGACATGTTGTTGACGTTGGTTTTTCTGAAGTCACTTCAACATTCATTATCTGAAATCACCCGCCTGTCCGTGCGTGCGTGTCTGTGTGTGTGTTTGCACGTGCCGCTGCTGTCAAACTTCACTATTTCATCTGTTGCTAAAAAGACACTTCCCAGCATGAACCTCCCGTCAGCCACACTCGGCACACCGAAATGCCAGCGCACACGCTCACAAACACAAAAAGAAGTGTCAACAATGCAAAAATAACTATTATTGAAGCGGCACACATAGTAACACAGAGACACACATATTTAATTTAGATAATACGCTGCTCGCTTTGATATAAGACTGACATTAGCAAAATAAAAATGTATTAAAAAAATAGGATTTTGTGTTTTCGTAAAGATTGCAATGCTAGAAAAGTGCGTCAGAGATAAATCCTTTTTTGATTTACTGTATGTGATTGAAATCATTCCATACTTGTGTGGAAAATGATTAATATGTGCACTGATGTGTGTGTGCACATGTCAAGTAGACAAAACTTTGATGGCTTTTATTTCCAGGTTGTGTGAATGCTTCTGGCCTGTCACTCACACAAACACACACACACACAAGCACACACACTCTGCTTTGATCCTGCTGCCCCTGAACCTTCATAAACCCGCACACCATTTATTACCTTTTATACAATAACAGGGTTCCTACTGTTTAAGTTAAATTTAAGACTTTTTAATGCCAGGTGAAATCAAATTTAAGACCAATTTTACAATAAACACAAATGACAAAAAAATTAAAAATGTGGAATAAACTCATGAATCAAAGTATTTTTGGTTGAATTATTCAAATATTGCTAATTGACCAATTGTTTTTATCCATATCTAACTGCTATTTTGTCAAATATGGCAAAAAAAACATTCTTATCAGTCATTTTTAAACAATGTAATTTCTGGAAATCCTCTAACGACCCAACATTTGTAGCTTTATGACCCAGAGTGGGTTCTCAACCCCAGCTTGCTGTAGATGAAACCTTAAAGTGTCTGTGACATCAAATTTTTGTAAGAAATATGAATGTATTTTTGGAAAGACAACATTTTTAACATTAGAAAACAAATTTCACATCGCTCTGATGGACAGTTGAGATATTTGCAGGTGAAATAAGAGGAAGTGATGTCAAAAGGGAACATCTGAATGGGAATATTTCAAAAATAAATAAATGTTACCAATTATTTTAATATTTTATATGAATTACAGTCATCCTACTTACAATGTGTTAACATTTTTAAGACTTCTGAAGATTGATTTAAGACATTTTAAGGCTAATTAAGGCCTTATTTTTGGATTGATGAATTCAAGGACCTTTTAAGACTTTTTAAGGATCTGCAGGAACCCTGAATAAAAGTTCAATATATTCATCAAACTTCTTGTTTTCTCCCTTGTTTGTTCATCCATAACTTCCTCCTGCTTAAGTCTATCCAGACCAGGGAAGTTTAACTAAACGAGAACAGCCGTGTTTAGACTAATTTACACCAGAATGTATTTTAAGTTAAGCTAAAGGGTATTTAACATTTGGGTTTTAGGTCTGAATAAGAGCACACAATCCAAAAACTGGCTCACAGGCAGGACATACAGTATGTGGCTCTGACCTCCTCCTCACTCTTTGCAGAATGCATCTGTGCAGAGATATTGGGGAGTGAAGGGTAAATATCAAACCCACGAATCAGAGCCTGCAGGTGGATGCTGCTGCGCTGCTTCTAGGGATAAGCAGGCATGTCAAGTTAGAAAATAGCAATGCTGCTTGATTTTAAATATATATGAAAAGACTCACTAGAAGAGAAATGGCAAGTGCTCCTGGTGTTCCGGCAGGCTGAAGGTATAGCAGCATCACTTCTGAATTGTCCCGTAAAACACAATTATAAACCATCTGTTATGTCTGAATAATAAAACCATCATCAGTTAAAAAGATGTATAAGCTGAGTAAATATATTTACTCAAAGTAAGGGTAAACTCTTGCTGAAGTTAATCTCTAGGGATGGTTTTTGCGATCTTTGCCAAAACTGCCACGCAGTTCCGTTTCTCTGCTTTCTAACATGGTGTGTGCCCATTTAAATCATTGAATCTCATGTTCTCTCCTCAGAGCCTCCACACCCGATCGCCCCGCCCCAGCTGCTCGGGGTTGGTCCCACATACCTGCTGATTCAGCTCAACGCCAACTCCATATTTGGAGACGGACCGATTATACTGAAAGAGGTGGATTTTCTATACAATATTTTAAAGCATTCACTCATTTGTAAACGATGTTACAGTAATCATCATAAACATTTAATATGTACTAAGTTACCTTTTTTTTTGCTTTAAAGTTGTATCTTTCGCTAGTTTTTTCATTGAACTTAACATGCCCTGTAATGAATATTTTGGAAGAAATGGAAGAGTTCGTTAGAATCCAAAACACTTCTTTATTTATCACCCTACTATAGTGGTTATTTAACTATCTTCTGGTAGGTTAGGTTAATAGTTTGCAGTAATCACTGTGGTATTGCAAAAACCAGAAATGCAGTACTCTAAACCAGGGGTTCTTAACCTTTCTAACATCGGGGCCCAATTTGTTGAACATAAAGTGGCCCGAGGCCCAGTCAGACATTACCAATGTACGGATCAAAATGATAATTATTCTAAATCTTGGTTTAATTTTTATTGTATTTACATTATAACTAAATTAAATACACTTACAGTTTAAAAGTAAAACTCCTGTCAAATAATCACAAGATATGATAATGACAAACATTTTTATATTGCAACCTGCCCATAACAATAGATATATATTTTATAACACAAACAATAACAAAAATAGACAATTCAAAAAATAAGTGTGGGCATAAAATAAATAAATTAAAAATGTTTAATGTAAATGTTTCAAATAAAAAAACCTGTAAAAATAAATATGATAAAGTACAAATGAAAATTTAGCATTTTAAACTTTTGCAACCAGAAGCTGCTCTTCATATTAGTGACAAACAAAAACAGTAACAGCATTTTGACAAGTTTAAAATTTCTTTAAAATACATTCAAAATGTTTAAAAATAAACTACAAAAATTAATTTAAAGTGCAAATTAAAATATAGTTGTATCTGCAACTGTATTTGATAATGTTTTGAACTTTTAAAATATTACATGGTAAAAACAGAAGCTGCTCTTCATATTAGTGACAAACTTTGGTGTTTTTTGACAAGTTACTTTCATTTTTGCTTCTACTTTTAATTTAAAATAAGTTTCCATTCTCGTAAGGTTTCTAAGGTTCTTCTTCTACATATTAAAAATGTTGTTAAACATCTGAGTGGTGCACTACTGCTACTAGTGGTGAGAAAGTGTATTGCACCTTATTCAAAATCAATGCAGTCCCACGGCCCTCTGCGGCCCAAAGTTAAAAACTGTTGTTCTTTTGAGGCCCTCATGATGGCGCCCGCGGCCCCTATAGGTTAAGAATCTCTGCTCTAAATAACATCAGGTTTTTTTTCTTGTGCTTTTTGATGAGTTTTCAACATGAATATTAAAATAAATTCAGTTCCATTCAAAAATAACAGTACATTAAATGACACACTTCCTGTATGTTACACATTATTTCCAAGAGTACAGTTTGGCTTATTGTTGCTAACTGCTTAGCTCTCATGTGTTTTTGCTTGGGTCTTAAAATACCACCCTAAACATGTTGTACACCTTTTCGGGTTCCAATATTCACATTTTTTTTCATGATTTACAGTTTCTCTAAGAACATAAACCCCTCAAAAACCGGGGCTTCACTGTATATAACAGCAGAGAAAATGGTGTTAAAGCATCATCTCAGTTCAATAACGTGCTTTTTTTGTTTTTAGTACAGGTGGTAAGAAGAGATGTGGTGTTTTATGCAACGTATTTTGATCATAGAAGCAGGCATTAGCATTCTGGTTTGATGAGTCTGTTTAGATCAGACAAATAAGAGTAAATACTAATCTTTATTATCAGTATCAGCTCCTGACCTTGGTAAAAAAAGCAAACATCATGTATTAACACAGATACTGAGTACTAAACACTCCAGTGTGTCATGTTTGACTCTTTTCCTTCAGGTGGAGTACCGGATGACGTCAGGAAGCTGGATCGAGACTCACGCTGTGAATTCTCCCAACTACAAGTTGTGGCACCTGGATCCCGACACCGAGTACGAGATCAGAGTGCTACTGACCAGACCAGGGGAGGGTGGGACGGGCAAAGCAGGACCACCACTCATTACTCGGACCAAATGTGCAGGTGGGTTGTCAACGGCGTAACGATAAGTTTTTCATGGAAAATTCTGGCAAGAAAACCCAAAAAATGACCTGACTCGATGCTATTGTGCACGTGTTTTATTGCTCGTCACATCTGATTATTTATCCATCGGTCTGGTGAAGGAATATCAATACGATGTAGAGGAGAGGAGAAGAATTAGAAAAGAAAAGAACAGAGTGCTCAGTCATCTAAAATAAATCGTGATTAAAATACCAGAGGCTTTCTCCACCTTTTATCACTTCTTATCCTCTTTTTCCTCATTCTTTACCTGCTCTCCATCTCTTCTCACTCATATGTGCCACTCCTCCCTCCGTATATCTTCCTGCTTCATTCCCAGTCACTAGCTTTGCCTCTTTCTCCCCTCATCTCTTCGGCTCTCTGTGGATCAATAGACGGAGGGCAGAAACACTGTCTGACATTTGTAGAAATAAACGACTGAAATATGAACACAGCCAGCCTGGGGGAGAGAGACGGCACGGGCGAAAAAAGGTTGATATGAAAGAGAAAGAGACAGAAATAAAAGCAATGAGCTTGAATGAAAAACAGAATAAGGGAGCAACGGAGAGATGATGAAAAACAATAAGGCTGGAAAAGAAAGAGGAGAGAGAGTAGGAGCAGTGCGAGAGGCGAGAAAATGATGAAACTGAAAATAAAAATGAAAGAGATGAAAACTCATAACTACAGCGCCTGACTGATGTCTGCCAGTGTGTGTGTGTGTGTGTGTGTGTGTGTGTGTGTGTGTGTGTGTGTGTGTGNCTGCCAGTGTGTGTGTGTGTGTGTGTGTGTGTGTGTGTGTGTGTGTGTGTGTGTGTGTGTGTTTCATGTTTATTGACAGAGGGGAAGTCATAGACTTGTTCAGGCGACTCGTCTATTGAACAGTTTCCTGTTCGACAGGAAGAGGAAATTAATCTTCTCTTCCTCCAAGGTGGAACTCATCTGTGTTAAAGACATCAACTCATTGTAATCAACACAATGTGCTGATAACGAGTCATTGATAAAAACAATTATTAGTGAATGTTTTATTTTTGGTTCAGTTTATCTATAGCACCAGTTTGCAAAAAACATCAACTCAGATCAGGTCAAAAATGCATTTATTAAAACACAGTACACACACAAGATAAAGACAAGATAAAATGTCAGTTAGTAAAAGTTATTAACTAAAGCAACAGATTGTGTTTAATTTTTATTTTGGCACATTACAGGTGCAGTTATAGAGACTAGAAAGAGTTTGGACAGCAACAAGACAAGGAAATGCTACATGTATGTTCCACAGCAGTCTCTTTCTATAGCAGCAGAACTTTGGGATAGCTCAGGAAACCCATGCCGATCCTAACTATAGGATTTATCAAAAGGAACGTGTCAAGACTATTAAATGTACACAGTGTCAGTCTCACAGACAGAAACTGGAAGATAAAGCTTCATAACTGAAAGCTCTGCCTCCCGTTATTTTTTTCAGAACTCTAGGAACCGCAAGTAAACCGCAAGTAAACCTGAGAGTGAAGAGCTCTGTCAAGAACATGTTAAACAATGGCATCTTTAATATAAGATGGAGCTTGGTTGTTCAGAGGTTTAGGTTAGTTTCTGACACTAAAGGAGACCTGATGCTTTTAAATCTTTTTTTTATATTTAAACCCTTCATTTAGGATCTATATAAAGTGGAACTGCAATTTTTTTTGGTCTGGTAACTTCAAAAGCCCCTCTTTCCGTCTCAGATCAACTCGATTTGAGGCTGTCTCTTCAGTTGTGTGAAACACTAACTAAACATTAAATAAATATGAAATGTAGTGGTTTTATGAGGGTTAAAACAGAAAACCACTTCCTGACAGGGTGCAGTACCATCGTAGAGCCTTGACAGGTAACTATTACTTTAATACGAATTCTTGTTTACAGTTTATACAGAATATTTTCTCTGGTGCTCGTTTTAAAAGCATTGGTTTTTTTGTGTGAATTAGATTTTATAAAATTCAAAAGATGTCCTCATGAACTGAATCTTATTTGTGCAATTTGACCGAGTTTGCAGTGTTTGGTTATTATTGTGGCAGTATATATTATTATGATTCTGCCTTATGAAGTCATAGCTTTTCTTTGCTTCATTCAAATTCACACAGTTTTTTACGTGTGTGTTGTGTTTGTTATGAGAGTGAAAGCCACACAGACATGGGGCAGAAATGTTATTTAAATGGTAATCATTTCTTTGCTTTTTCTGTTTGCTTAGGTTTGTCAGATCCCACCACCTGTAGTTTACTGATTTATTTGATCATAATAGTGAAGTCAGAAACGCCGACGTCAAGCTCAATCCAAAAATTGCCACTATAAAAAACAGTTTAATTAAAAAAGAATAAAGTTAATAAAAATCCTGGGGAGACATCACACTCTACTGAGCAGCTGATGTAATAAGAAAAGTTAATTTATCCATCTTTCTGTCTCTACTTCTTTCTCATGCTCCGTCATTCTCTCCACTCTGACTCTTCTCCATTTTTCTTATTTTTTCTCTCGTTTTTTTTCTTGGTGATGTATAGCTCTTGTCTGAAGGGTAAAAAATAATCTTGAAGTGAAGAGTGCTGAGTGTGTACGTGTGTGTTTTTGTGTCACTGGAGAAAATGATGAAGTAGCTTTTAATCCAAATCCCGAATTTTCTCCTGAAACGTTCTGGTCATGGCAGGTTACACACACACACACACACACACACACACACACACACACACACACACACACACACACACACACACACACACACACACACACACACACACACACACACTAAAACCACAGTAAAACGTGAAGGAACAGCTTAAGAGAGTCCTGCTATTTCATACATGTACAAACTGATATAAGAACAAAATCATAAAATTGATATTTTTAGACACATCGCACAGCAGGCAACACATAACTCTTAAAAGGTCAAGCTTTTAAAATAACAAACCATAAAAATACAAATGACTGATTGTGTCTGTTTGGTTTATGTGTTTGTGACAAAACTGTTGACAGATTGATAAATTATTAAAAATGCAACTTTGGTGCATTTTCATGTTTAAGGATATGGTAACATCCAGGCATAGAAAAGTTCATTTTAAAGGGTGTCTTCACACCTGACACATATGGTCCACTTTAAAGAGACCAGAGCTTGTTTCCTCCATTGGTCTAGACCTTTTACACAGGTGTGAATACACTCATGCTCTTGATACTCTTAATAGTCAGTTGTGTTAACACCATCTTTACTTCCTGGTCTGTGCTCTGTCCCGCCCCATCATTTCTATCCAATGGGAGCAATGATCGTCACCTGCGTGGCTTTGTTTATAAATTATAGTCCACTTACAAAAAGCACAATGCAAATCACACCAAAGGAAAAAACAAAGTCCACTATTTGGTCCAGACCAAAGGACTTTCCTGGTGTGAATACACCTTAAAAGACCAAAACCTCTAATATAAACCTATATTTATGCCAATAAAATACAATAATATTTCAGTCATACCCAAGCATTATCTAATAATCAACATAATTTGCCACATTTTCTTACATAGTTAAAGTAATTGGACAAGTAGAGGACAAATGTGTCAAAAAGTTGCAGCCCTTAAAAGCTATTTTCAGCAAACTGTCAGAAAGGGTTATCTAATGTGCGTTTGTTCCTCTCAATATGTTTTAGTGATTCATTTCAGTGATATTTCAGTTGATTTTAATAATAAATGTTAGCTTTTTCACATCTTAGTGCCAAATGGTGGTTAAAAATGCTCTTTTTTTAATAGAAAATCCCTCTTGTTTTTGGTCTTTTAGTCACATTTCGATAAATAAAATAAACTGCAAACTCAGCAAAAATGAGTGCATAGTTCCAAAGTATCCATATTAGGTAAGTCCATGAACCAATGTATGTGGTGAACTACACTGATTTACGGTTCATGGGTAAACTTGGCATTGAACAAGTTGTGTAGACAAAGTAAAGTAGCAAACTAAAGGAATAATGCAAACTTTCACCTTTTCTGTGCTTAAAGCTGCTCGTGACAAACACTTGCAGAGAGGAAATAGAGGTTGCAAATAATTAAATGTAGCAAGTTTCATTTGTCTTCCTCATGACAGTGGGAGGATTACCAGGAACTAATTGGACAGATTAACTTGGATTTAGCCACAGCTCCTCTCAACCTTTTCTGCTTGGCTCTTATTCGCTCTCCCTTTCTGCCTCTTCCCTTCTCATTTTCTTTAATCTCCTCTATTTTCTCTTTATGGTTTTTACAATAAACCTGTTTATTTGTCGCCTCTTGTAATGCTTTGCGTTGTGGAAGACAGTTGAGTTTTCTTTAGCGCAATTCATTTTTGTTCAGTTTCGTTTTCTTTTCTTTTGTTTTTTCCCTGTTTTAATTCCAACCTCTGGATTCTGCTGATATGAAGCTTTGTGTCCTCGTGTTATTGTTAGTGTTTATTGGTATTGTTATTGTTTTCAAAGCTCCATCTGTGAAGAACAAAGCCTTTTAGTTTCAACATGAATCCAGCCATTTGTCAGTCTACCGGAGGGGGGGAAAGGGACAAGGCATGCTCTGTGGTTTGCCTTTGGACTCGGTCCCGTTTCACTCTGGCCACGTTCCAAACTAGTTATCGTCTCTCCTCATTCCACCTCTGTGATGCTCTTCCCCCTCTCTCATCGTTTTCTCTCTGCTCGTTTTATCTGTCCCTTGTTCCATCCAGACCCAGTTTCATTTTTTCACACATTGCTCCGTTTTTTCCCACTCTTCTGTTTGATATTGTTTCATCTCTTTCTTTCTTTCTTTCTTTCTTTCTTTCTTTCTTTCTTTCTTTCTTTCTTTCTTTCTTTCTTTCTTTCTTTCTTTC